CTTTCTCTCTCTGAAATCAATAAAGACATATTAAAAAAAAAAAGTTAAATAGCTTGTATAAGGTGATAGATACTTGACCAGACCCAAGATACAAATCCTTTCTGGAAGCCAAAGGCCCATTTTGCTGCCACCTGTGGTGGCCTGTAGTTACTGTCAGTTAGCACCAGGTGGTAGTATTGTTGAATAGAAATGTCTCCAGGGATGGCTCTGCCCTGAATTGCTTTGTTATAAAAGGTGATTGTCAAAATTGGGGATGGGGGCAAAAAAGATATCTGACCTTTTTGTGCTTTATGATGGAAATATACACCACTACCATCTATGAAGTATTTTTGCCCCAAAATAAATCAGAAACAGATAAAGCCTTTAGATCTTACGACTACTTTATAGGGATTTATAGGGAACAGAGGAACATGTTAAATGGCACCATGGAGATGCAATCAGCAAAACCCAGACTGTGGAAATCTAGGATAAATGATCCAATTTTTTTCAACAAATTGCAAAAAAACCACACAAGGGCGGTGGGATCTTTAGAATTAAAAATTAAGAAATATGTCAACCAAATGCAGTGTGTGGACTTGTTTTAACCCTGATTCAAACAAACCACTGTAAAAACATTTCTTAAGAGTATTTGGGAAATTTTTTAAGCTATTTTTAGAAACATGAAATTAAGTATCTTTTTAATTTTGCAAGATAAGGTGACAATGTGGGTATCTTTAAAAAAAGAGTCATTGTTTGAAGTACATACTGAGCCCGGCCGGGCCACCTAGGATCCAGGAGATCGGGGTTCGATTCCCGGTCAGGGCACATGCCCAGGTTGCGGGCGAGGCAGCCAGTCAGTGACTCTCTCATCATTGATGTTTCTATCTCTCTCGCTCCCCCTTCTTTCCTCTCTCTGAAATCAATAAAGATATATTAAAAAAAAGAAAGAAATACATACTGAAATACTTACAATTGAGATGATAATAAACTTAGTATATGCTTTAAAATGAGTTAGTTTTTTAAAAGGTAGTAAACAGCAGAAATCACCGGAAATTTGTGAACCTAAACATAGGCATTAATTTGTTCAACAGACATCATTTGAACACCTACTTTATTTGAGGCACATGATTCAACTAGAAAATGCTTTCAGAGCAGTAAGTGAACTATTGAAAGCGGGGATGGTGTAAATGACTGTGACCTAACTGGGAGCAGTAGTGAAGGAATGGTGAGAGTGAATTATAGTTAGTTAAGAGATTCAAATTTTTTTAAAAGTAAACTTTTATTTGTAATATCACATCCATAAATAAAAATGCACAAATAATAATTGTATAGCATAAAAACTTTTTATAAAGTTAATACCTTTGTGTAGCCAGCACCCAAGCAGAGTTGAATTTTGAACAAAATATTGCTTGAAGTATTGGATATGGTTTAGAGTAGAAATGGAGATCTTAAGCAAAGAAGGAATTAAAAATGCAAAAGCAACCTATCCTCTTAAAATTCCAGGCTAAATATTGCCCTGGAGATATGAGACTTGAAAAACCATCTAGATCTGCTGGAGTCTTAGAGCAACTTAATGGGCAGAATATGGAATGTTTTTATTTTATGGAATGTGTATTTTATGCTAAAGATCAAAACTTGTGCTATTTATAACTGAGGAACAAGTGTTTACTAAATTCATTAAATCAACTTTTATTATTAACAGGTTTTTAGAATTTTATTGCAGCTATTACTGACTTTCAGGATATTTGATTTTCTCAAGGTCATCGCCAGAGTAGGAGCTGCAGTCTTTCAAGAGGCTCAGGTTCATTCAGTATTTAAACACCATCTATTTGGAAGAATTTCTTAAGTTAATAATTGATTATCTTTAACAGTAAGACTGCAGCAGTGCTATAATTAGTGGGTTTGTTGTAGCCATTCCTGAGGGTGATATTGTATAAAGTACTTGCTTTATATCCCATTTTACTGATTAGGAAACAAGCACAGCTAGGCTAAGGAACTTTTTTATGGTCACAATACAGTCATTTAGTGGCAGAGCTGCTAATGAGGTCAAAGCTTGCTGGCTTCAGAATATTTAACCAATAGGGTTGTTGTGAAGATTCTTAGTTAATGTATTATAAGTCACTTAAAGCAATGCCTGATTCCATGTGTATAATAATTTTTAAGTATCAATATAATTGTAATTATCACTGTTTCAGAGAGAAATTTTGGTAGCACAAGGAAATCTCCTTCCCTATAGGGGAAAAAGTTTCACTTTAGTCTTTAGGCAGATGAATTTCTATGAGGCTTCTATACTTAAACAGTGTAGATGAAACATACATTTAAAAACATTAGTTTTGGGGCTTCTTAAGGTAATAAATCTCTGAATTTCTATGAAGATAATTTCATACATGTTTTGAGTAGTTTGGGTTTGTTTTCTATTGAGAATGTAATTTAAATGGATTTCAACTGTTCCAATTTCTATTGTAACAGAATTTAAGCAAAATGGTGGCAAGCCCTATGTCTCTGTGATTACCGGGAGAGGAAACCACAGCCAGGGAGGAGTAGCTCGCATCAAACCAGCCGTCATTAAATACCTCACAAGCCATAACTTCAGGTGGGTATGTATAGGTTTTTGTTACCGATAATGGCAATTGCCCATATATATAGATAATAAACACTAAGAGTGTGCTCAGAATGATTTGTTAAGTGAAGTAGTTAACTAAATTTGACCATCAGATTTTAGCCGTAAAGTCATGCTTAAATTATGATTCCCTGCTGGATTTATGATGTCTAGTAAACCAGAAATGAAAGAAAAATGTGTTTGTTGTTAAAGCAATCATCTGACAAAACTATTAATCATAAATTAAAAATCTGAAAGAAGTATGTTTGTATTTCTTTGATGATGCATTATCCAAGATATTTAGATTATATATACCATAGTTTAAAATTTGCTGTTTAATTATTGTTTTGAAAGTAAATGTATATTTGTGGATTTTGGAAGGAATTGGGAGCTTCTGCTGAAATATGGTTATAGTTTGGATGTGTTTAAACTTTAGCAGAAACACTGTAGTCACTGTGAATTTGTACATCTTTATAAGTTAAATGCCATTAATGATCTCAGCTGACAAATATGAAATTCCTTTTTTAGTGAGTAGTTATTATTCAGTAACAGAAAAAACAAGTTTGAGAACAAAGATGTGTTGATGATGAATAGATTCCCTGAGGATATATACCATTAAGTACCTCTCTCTCCCTACTACTAGTTTCAATTAGTGTAGCATATTTTATTTATGTCATGCAATAAAATGTTGTTTGGCTACATTTTAGAAAATGGTATTATTAATTCTGAGCATGAAAACGGATGACATTTCAGTTATTTCACAAAAGGAATACTTAGACAAGAACATTATCATGTTGGGATTAATGATCTATTTTAGAGACTAGGGGTTTTTTTGTGTGTGTATTTTTTAAAAATTTCACACACAGAGTTGAAACCATTTCATGGCCTGATGAATCAGACTTACCTATTATACTAGAGATTTCTTCTTGTTACTCACTTAATGCATAGAAATAATATAATGCAAGCATCATCTTATCCTTGATACAGAGTGCTCTTCTTCATGAAGATCAAATTCAGGCTTGAGAGTTTTGATAAATCTTAAATTATAATAACTATTAAGTTAGGAGTTAACCCCAGCCTTAGGATTGTATTTATTTTGATAATAGATTAAAAGGAACATAAACATAGATATTGGTCCTGGATATTGACTTAATAATGGAGAGTACTTTGATAGTAAATATATTTAGCATAGGCATTTGCAATTGATTATAAGATATATTTCTTAATGAGTTTGAAGTTTTTAATCTTTAAAATGACTTTTCTCATTTCTGCAGGTTCTCTGAAATTAAACCAGGGTGCTTGAAAGTCATGCTAAAGTAAAATAAACGTCCTTGACTTAGAAATGTGAAGGTTTGTATGTTAAAATTAGTTTTATTTGCAGTAATTTAGTCAGTTTTACTGTCAACATGTGTTTTATTCGAAATACTGTTCAGTTATAAAACAAACATTATGATGTTTTTCAAAATTCAAGACAAGTTTAAATTTTTATTGAATCAAATGCCAAATATGTTGTCTGTTAAAACTATTAAATGTAATTTTCTTAGATAAAATTATCAGATTCAGTTTTAAAGTGTGAACGTGCACAGATTCTTTCTGAGAGAGAAATTATCTTTCTATTAATTGTTGTTTGACATTTAGTGAAGATCTAATGGTATCCATGAGAGGTATTTAAAGTGCTTTGAGACTTGGTTCATGCCTTTCAAGACTGGTATTAAAAAAAAAATAGTAGTATTTAATGAAAGAAAGGAGAACTAACAAAAACACTTGAATGCTTTTTTATTTCAAAAGCAAATTTAAAACTTTTATTTTGCTGCATCCTATAGGAAGGAGGACATGCTGTTGTGCATTCTTCTGCTTTGTATTTGTATGTGATCTTGATCTCTTAACCTTTTGTTTCTTTTTTCTGTGTGTGTGTATTTTCTAGGAGGAAAGTTGGGGTCTGAAATTATATTGCAGTTTTATACCTTCCATAGGCAGAAAAGTTTTCAGAGAAGGAGAAGTGGTTAGATATCTACCAAATGTTGTCGTCTTAGAAAACTGCTTCTAGAACTGTCTGTTGTAAGTGGTATTTTAGATAGTACTAAAGAGCTGTCTTTTATATTGAAGCATGTAATTTCTAAACTGCAGTAAGGTAAAAATTCTATCAACTTAAAACAAATATAGAAAACATTTTTTCTTGCAATTTAAAAGTTTTTTACCTTTATTTTTAAAAAGAGCCAACTTTCTGAAAGGAAACCTTCATTGACTTCTGGTTTTTGGTGAGGTAAAAAGTCCTGTTAGTATGTCAATTGAAACTTCCTTTATACAAGTTCAATGTGATAAAGTATAATTTTCCAATATGAGAAAATGGTTAAATAAACCTGACTTTGGATATAGAGAATACTTTCAACATATATAATTTTTAAAAACAGTTGTGTTACTTTTTGATAAGTTTAAAAAGTCATTTGGATGAGGAATTATAGGATTGAGCTGTAGCTGAAAGAATCTGGGATTACAGAATGGTTTCCTAAAATAAGAGACATTTTAATGAAAATAAAACTCAAAAACACATTTTTATATATCATAAAAGCATGCTTTTAAAAAAGCTCTATTATTGAATTTATTTTACAAAAATAAAAATATGTTTATTATTTAGAAATGGTTAGTGACTAGCATTGAAATATTATTCATACTCTATGTTTCTAATAATTTGTTAAAAAAAGAAAAATGCCAACGGTTTAGCATATGTTTTTTATAATGTCTAGAAGAGTTGTATACATTAAAAAGAAAACAGTTCAACCATTTATAAAATTACAGTTGTTAATGATATAAAATATTTTTATGTATAAATTAATCCGATATAAGAAATGTGACTAACAATACTAAAACCTAGAGTGATTTGAGTGTGCAGCTTCATATTTTCTGTGTTTTTATATTTCCTCGCCCAGTTTAAAAATTGCTTTTGAGCACTTCGGCTAGACTTACTTCACTATTACCATAGTTGTTATTGTCGTAGGAGCAGTCAAGAACAAGAGGTGTGAGGTATTTTGTGGCAGAATCCAAATGAAACAAGCTATGTTTTATGTTGTATCAACTTAAATTTTGTGCTTTATTTTGCTAAATCTAGGGTATTTCTCCTTAATCATCATTTATGAATATATAGGCGTATTTTAAGCATCATATGTATTTTTATGAAGTTGTTTAATCCCAAACTGTCACCTACCCCTTGATCTAGCATAGTTTAAGCAACAGATAATTACGAAAAAAAAAAATTTATAATTGCTTCTTGTTTTGACTATTTATGCCAAAGGTAAACATAGTTCGGGGATTATCAAATTTTTCACTTTTGTCCATTTCTAAGTCCTCTGTGTCAAAAGTAAAGATAATGTGGGGATTTTCAAAGTTTTTATGTATTGGTAGATTTATAATAGTACATGGTTCATTTGAATGGCTCTTTGCAGAAGTATTAATATTTTAAAAGTGCAACACTTCTGTAGTTAGAAAGGTTTTAGTAGCAGTTATATCTCTCAGTAGTCTCTTACCAGTATCTACCAGGTAAGGAGAGAACTAATGTGGAAACCACAGGGGACCTGTAGTTGGACTGAGTGACCCTTAAGAGTATTTTCTTCTTCTTTTTTTTAATTTTATTTTTGTTTAAAATCTTAAGAGTATTTTCAATCCATCCACTTCCTTACTTGAATCTGAGAAATGGAAGAATGTTGTCTTATATTTATTAGCTGTTCGTGTATTCCTATTTATTTTCAAATTGAGGTTGCCCCCAATTTATTAGTATTTCCGTATTATTTGTAATTCTATGGCCTTTAAACATAGGACAGATAGTAGAAATCCTGACATATTTTAAAGTATCTTGTGTATTATAACACATTTTGAGAAGAAAAGCCAAATAATTCTGTTGGATTGTTTCTAGTCCTTTATCTTTGTTCTTTTTCTTTTAAAATTCAAGTGTTTTGTATGCTTAGAAAAAGGGCAGGTATAATAGCAAGATTGGTCTGAACTGGAAATTGGAAAGTTTGAAACTCAGGAAATTGCTCTGACAATGTTTTAACTGCTCTCAGTTTAAGAAAATGACAAAATGTATAAAAAAGATACAAAAATAGTGTTTGCTGTTTTTTTCTAAGTGCTTTTTCTAAGTGCTTTTCCATTGTGCAATGAGGTGAAGTTTGATAATTTTTCTGTGCAGTGGTTAAATAGTGTTTGTTTCTCATTATATGTTAAACAAATTTAAATGTTTGTGTGGCCAAAAAAGTAAAGTAAGTTTATGTAGAATGTTTGTTAATGGTGCTTATTTTTAAAATGTAATTCAAGTTTACAGTATTACTTAATGCCTCGTTAGAGAATTCAATAGACAAACAAGGCTAGAATACATCTACATCCCGAAGAGCCTTTTAGAATTTCACAATGTATGATGAGAAATTTTATGATTTTCCATAAAGTTGAGCAATTGACTTTTATGGTCCAAATAATGAACCTATTATTAATAAATGACTGAATTAACCGTGAGAATTCTCATTAAAGTATATCATTGCAGCTATCAGTTGGAGAATGTATAATAAAAAATTTCAGACAATATATCAGAAACAAAATGTTTTTATTTGTACTATAAAGAAAATGTAATTTTGCTGTTAACTCTACTTTTTTATTGAAAATGTTTTATAACTTTGCTTTAAAATTTCTTACGAAACCATTTGCAAATTACATATTTAATTTAATAAAATACTTTAGTCACAGTCCAGTGTGAGGAAATCTTTTATTTGATGTGGTAAGGTTAGTAGTTTAACTATTACAGTATATTTTTATTTTCATTTTTAAAGTTTATTTTATTTTATTGCTAACACTATTACAGATGTCCTTCATTTCCCCCATTTACCTACCTGCCTCCACCCCCATCATGCATACCTTTGTAGTCTCAAGGGAAAAGTGTCATAAAATTTTCATTTCTGTACCACAGCTTTGATCCTAGCTTAAATTATTTTGCTATAGCAAATAGGGGGTCCACTTTTGAACCAGATAAATGGGTTACCTAGGTTTGTCTCTTCACACCTTTGTATCTTTTGACAGATGTCAAAATTAAGATTTGTGTCTCTGAGAGACTCAAGTAATACTTTAGCTCATATTAAAGACCTTTGAACTTCTCACTCCATGGTGAAACAACTCACTCACTTAGCAACTTCACAATCTTTATTTGATGAATGCTTATTGAGTACTTGTTACTGTGAGACAGAGTGTCTATCCGTAGGTATCTCATAGTTGTTTCATTAACTCTTTTGTGTATAGTGATGTATACTTTAGAACGCTTTCATATACGTCATATTTTAAGACTTGTCAACTTTTTTCTTAAAAAATATGTTTTTATTGATTTCACAGAGAAGAAGGGAGGGGGAGAGAGAGAAACATCAATGATGAGAGAGTCATTGATCAGCTGCCGTCTGCACGCTCCCTACAGAGGGGATCGAGCCTGCAACCTGGGCATGTGCCCTGACCGGGAATTGAACTGAGATCTACTGGATCATAGGTTGATGCTCAACAGCTGAGCCTTGCTAGCTGGGCAAGACTTGAGAATTTTTTAATACAAATGTCTTACAGAGGCTTAGAGAAGTTGTTGGATTTGCTAGTCAGTGGCAGAGGTAAGACTTGAACCGAGGTTCTCTGACTCCTAGTATAGAGCAACTGCATCTGCCATAAGAGTAAGGATTTACTTAAAGAGATAATATCCTATTATCCTCAACTAAAAGAGATGTGGCTCCACAGTATATGTCTGAAAACTGGCATTTATACACCTGCCTTACTCCTTTATCCAAAGGAAGCTGGTATTATGGGTTTTCCTAATAGATAAAGATAAAAATTTATTTCTCTCAATATAAAATTCCAGAGATACAGAGTCTAGGACTGATGGGTGTGCTCTTTTACATGAAGTTTTTGGGACCTAAGATCCTTTTAGGTCACCACTGTACCATACTTAAGGTGTGGCCCTTATTTTTCTAAACCGGGGTAGGTGGCTGGAGCTCTAACTGTCACACACCTGCATTTTGTTGGAGGTAGGACAAAGAGGAAGGGAAGTGCCAGCAGTCTTTTTATAGAAGATTTTTGGAAGCTGCCATAGGACACCAATACTTAGATCTTCTTGGCCATAACTTAGTCATGCAGTCACATCTGGCTGCAAGGGAGGCTGGGAAATTGTCTTTATTTCAGACTACCATATGTTCAACTAAAATTTGGACATTCTCTTGGAGGAAAGAGAATGGGTATTAGGGGAATGAATAGCAGTTTCTGCCACATCATTTTTGATCACTGAATGCAAATAATGTAAAAATTAGTTTTTGATACATTTCTTCAAAAGATCTTTGTTGATAATGACTATGTGCTAGGAATAATAAAAAGATAATCACAGTTGTATTTTAACTTAAATATTCGAATGCTATTAGTAACCAACGTGGCTAATGCCATGGGCTTCCAGTTGACTTAATAACTAATGGTATCACTTTTGATCTTATAACTCAGTTGTGGCAACTGGATTAGGTGTGTAAGTTATTTCTGGTGATACTGCTTAGTTAGTATATTTGCATGCTGCTTTTGTGTTTTCTTAAATATTTATTAATCAGATCAATGTGTAAAAGCTCAGGACTTGCTGTAAGTAATTTAAAGCTAAGTGTATCAGGGTAGGGGAATGTAAATATGTGTGTGTCTTAAGGACTGGAAACTGCATACGAAAGAACTGTGGAGGCGCTGGGGGGAATAAGTAATTCTTTTTGGAGGCAGTAAATTTGTACTTTGCTTCCTGGTTGAAATGTTTAAATGATTTCATGGCTTTTATACATATAACTATATAATTGTACCTTTCATAGGTTCTGGAATACTCCTTCAAGTAATCTCTTTAATTTGTTAGAGGTTTTAAAAATTTTAATAGCTAATTAAATATTAACATTTTAGCATTAAAGTTTCAAAATTAAACAAATTTCTTAAAACAGGGAATGATGCCCAGCCGGGCGTGGCTCAGCTGTTGAGCATCAACCTAGGATCCAGGTGATCCAGGTTTGATTCCCGGTCAGGGCACATGCCCGGCTTGCAGGCTCGATCCCCAGTCGGGGGCGTGTAGGAGGCAGTCGATCAATGACTCTCTCATCATTGATGTTTCTATTTCTCTCTCCCTCTCTTTTCCTCTCTCTGAGATCAGTAAAGATATATTTAAAAACACAAAAAAACAAGGAATGAGTCTTTTGGTGTAGAGAAATAACAGCATGATCAATTGGCAGTTCTATTTCTGGGCAGATACAGGAGCAGCCAGCTGTAGGATGTTAAGGTAGGGTATGGTAAAGAAATGAGGTGATGGAATGATCACTTTATTTTCCAGCTTTATTGAGATATAATTGATATATGACATTACATAAGTTTAAGGTGTACAGTGTGATGATTTGGCATGTGAATATGTTGTGAAATGTGTACCACAATAAGATTAGTTAGCATTTCCTTCACCTCACATAATTATCATTTTGTTGTTATGGTGAGACCACACATTATAGCCACTTTTAAGTATACACTACAGTATTGTTAATTGTAGTCACCATGCTGTATCTTAGATCCCTGGAAGTTATTGAAAGTTTATACCCTTTGACCGACATCTCACCATTTCCCCCACCCCTCAGCTCCTGGCAACCACCATTCTACTCTGTTTCTATGAGTTCAATATTTTTAGATTCCATATATAAGTGAGATCATAAAGTATTTGTCTTAAAAAGAAGACAAACCAATGAAAAAATGGGCAAAGGACCTGAATAGATACTTCTCCAAAGAGGACATACAGATGACCAAGAGACATGAAAAAATGCTCAGTCACTAATCATCAGAGAGATGCAAATTAAAAGGACAGTGAGATATCACCTCACACCTGTCACAATGGCTGCCATCAACAAATCAAGGAAGGACAAGTGCTGGCAAGGGTGTGGAGAAAAGGGAACCCTAGTACACTGCTGGTGGGAATGCAGACTGGTGCAGCCACTATGGAAAACAGTATGGAGGTTCCTCAAAAAACTAAATAATAAACTGCCATTTGATCCAGTCATCCCACTTCTAGGAATATATCCTAAGAAATCCAAAACACCAATCACAAAGAACTTATGCACCCCTATGTTCATAGCAGCACAGTTTACAATAGCTAAGATCTGGAAACAGCCCAAGAGCCCATCAGTAAATGAGTGGATAAAAAAGCTGTGGCACATTTACACCATGGAATACTATGCAGCTATAAAAAGAAGGATCTCTTACCCTTTGGGACAGCATGGAGGGAACTGGAGAGTATCATGCTAAGCGAAATAAGCAGGCAGAGAAAAACAAGTACCACATAATCTCATATGTGGAATATAATAAAATAAACTGATGAACAAAATAGAAACAGAGGCATGGACACAGGGAACAGGGATCTCAGAGGGAAGGTGGGGATGGGTGGCTGGGTAGGGAGAGAGTAACCAGAGAACTTACATGCATAACCCATGGACACAGACTATAGTATGGAGAAGGCCTGGGAATGGGCGGATGCAAGGTGGAGGGGATCAATGGGGGGGAAAACGGACATCTGTAATACTTTCAACAATAAAGATAAATTTAGAAAAAGACAATTGCAGATATCTAGAGGGAAAAAGATATTTATAAAGTACTTAGAAAGATGGTAAAGAGCTTCAAGGGTCTCTGTGCTTAACGATACTTCCTTTGTAACAGTTTTGATATTCAAAATGAATAAATGCATTGACTATTTAAAAAAAAATTTGTCTTTTTCTGTGTGACTCATTTCACTTAGTTAATGCCCTCAAGGTCCATTCATGTTGCAAATGGCAGGATTTTCTTTGTTTTTCCTGGCCTCATATTTCATTGTGTATATACACGCCACATATTCTTTACCCATTCATCTGTTGATGAATACAGGTTGTCTCCACATCTTGACTATTGTGAATAACACTGCAATAAACATGGGAGTGCAGATAATCTCTTTGAAATACTGATTTTGTTCCTTTGGATATATACCCAGAAGTAGGATTGCTGGACCATACGGTAGTTCTATTTTTAGGTTTTTAAGAAACCTCTATACTGTTTTTAGTAGTGGCTGCACCAAATTTACATTCCCACCAGCAGTGCACCAGGATTCCCTTTCTCCATACTCCCCAGCATTTGTTATCTCTTGTCTTTTTCATGATAGCCATCATAACAGGTGTGAGATGGCATCTCATTGTGGTTTTGGTTGCATTTTCTGATGATTAGAGATGTTGAGCACTTTTATTTTTTAATCCTCAGTGGAAAACATGTTTCTAATGATTTCTAGAGAGAGAGGAATGGGGAGAGAGAGAGAGAAAAACATGGATGTGAGAGAGAAACATCCATCAGTTCCCTCCTGTACTTACCCCAATGGGAGATTGAACCCAAAACCCAGGTATGTGCCCTGATGGGCAGTTAAACCCACAATCTCTTGTGTGGGATGACATATTAACCAACTGAGCCACCTGGCTAGGTGAGCA